GTTTCACTGGAAAATTCTACCAACATTTAAAGAATTAACACCAATTTTACACAATCTTTTCCAGAATACCAAAGAGGAGGGAACATTTCTGTGTCAGGGTCCCCAAGACCATCCCCAGGCTCAACTAGGACCTCAGCATATAGTCAGACTCAAGGCTATTATTTATTACAATGACAGAATACAGAGCAAAATCAGCAAAGGAAAAAGGCACATGGGGGAAGTCCAGAGAAAACCAGGCACAAGCTTCCAAGGGTTCTCTCCCAGTGGAGTCACACAGGATGTACTTATGTCCTCCAGCAAAGAGTTGTGACAACACATGTGAAATGTTGTCTATCAGGGAAGCTCATTAGAAGCTTAGTTCCCACGGCATTTATTGAGGGTCGGTCATGTAGGCACCCTCTGCTTAGCACTTACCAAAATTCCAGACTCCCAGAAGAAAAGCAGATGATCAACATAAAGCATATTGTTTGTACAGTTTAGGCACAGTGAGATACTCTTATCAGTCCTGGGAATGGGAGGAACTCACTGCAAATCCAAGTTTCCAGATGCCATCCAAGAACCAACCTTGCAAACAGGCCTTTCAAAGGATAACAGTCAGGCCTGCTATGTTAACTCTTCTGCACAGCTTGGAAATCAGGAGACTTGAATTTTAGTCCCAGAATAAATCACATTTTTACAAACAGTTTAGGCATAGTGAGTCACTCTTATCAGTTCTGGGGATGGTGGAAACCCTCCTGAAATCCCAGTTCCCAGAGGCCCGCCAAGGGCCTGCTATGTTAACTCTTTTCTGCACAACTTCTTAACTCATATTATGAGGCCAGTATTCACCTAATATCAAAACCAGACAAACATGGCATGAAAAAAACTCTCAAAACTTATTTCAGGGACTTTGACACAAAAATCTGCAATCAAATATTAGTGATATAGAATCCAGAAAGGTATAAAAACAATTATACCATGGCCAAGCAGGGCTTATTCCAGCTATGCAAGGTTAGTTCAAAGATCAATATTCAATCAATGCAAACTACCATATCCATAGGCTAAAGAAGAAGAATCATATGTTCATATCAATTGATGCAGAAAAAGCATTTGACAAAATTCAGCATTCATTCATGATAAGAACTCTCAGCAAATTAGGAATAGAAAGGAACTTGCTCAAGTTGATAAACAGCATCTACAAAAACAAACAAATAAAAAAACACACCACAGCTAACAGTTTTCTTTTTTTTTTTTTTGCGGTACGCGGGCCTCTCACTGTTGTGGCCTCTCCCGTTGTGGAGCACAGGCTCCGGACGCACAGGCTCAGCGACCATGGCTCACGGGCCTAGCCGCTCCGCGGCACATGGGATCTTCCCGGACTGGGGCACGAACCCGTGTCCCCTGCATCGGCAGGCGGACTCTCAACCACTGCGCCACCAGGGAAGCCCCCTAACCATTTTCTTAATGGCAAATTTCCCCCTAAGATAGGGAACAAGGGAAGGATGTCCACTCTTATTCAACATAGTACTGAAAGTTCTAGTCTGCACAATAAGGCAAGAAAAGGAAATAAAAGGCATACTGATTGGAAAGGAAGAAATAGAACTGTCCATACTCATGGACAACATGATTGTCTATGTAGAAGATCCCAAATAATCTACCAAAAAGATTCCTAGAACTAGTAAGTGGGTTCAACAAAGTCAAAGAACACAAGATCAACAGCCAAAATTAATTGCATTTCTATATACTAATAATGAGCAATGAATAAAGAAGCTGAAATTTTAAACACAATATTATTTACAATCACGCCAAAGAAAATGAAATACGATATACACTTAACAAAATATGTACACGATCTGCATGCTGAAAATTCCAAAATGCTGATGAAAGAAGTCAAAGAAGATCTAAATAAATTGAGAGACACACATATCGTGTTTATGGATAGAAGACTCAGTATAGTATAGATGTCGATTCTCCCCAAATTGATCTATAGGTTCAACACAATACCTATCAAAATCCCAGCAAGGTTCTTGTAGATATAGACAGGCTCACTCCAAAATTTATATAGAAAAGCAAATGACCTTGAATGGCTAAAACAATTTTGAAGAAGAATAAAGAAATATATAGCTACAGTAATCAAGACTGTTTGGTATTCACAGAGGGATAGACACATAGAACAATAAAACAGAATAGAGAACGGAGAAATAGCCCCACACAAATAGCCTAACGCAAATATGCCCACCTGATTTTGCCAAAGGTGCAAAAGCAATTCAGTGCAGGAACAAATAGTTATTTTAACAAATTGTGTTTGAGCCATCAGACATTCATAGGCAAAAATATGAACCTCGACCTTAACTTCACATTTTATACAAAAATTAATTGAAAATGAAGCATGGCCTTATATGTAAAATATAAAACTATAATACTTTTAGAAGGAAATACAAGAGAAAATTTGTGGGACCTAGGACTAGGTGAAATTTTTCTCAGACACGACACCAAATCATGATACATAAATGCAAACATTGATAAGTTGGACTTCATCAAAATTACGACTTTTGGCCTTCAAAATCTCTTAAGAGGATGAAAAGACCAGCTACAGACTGGGAAAAATGTTTGCTGACCACATATCTGACAGAAAACTTGTATCTAGAATATATAAAGAATTCTCAAAATGTAATGGGCAAAAGACATGAACAGACATTTCACCACAGAGGATATACAAATGGCAAATAAGCATATGAAAAGATGTTTAACATCATCAGCTATTGGGAAGTGCAATTTAAAACAGAGGTATCACTACACACCTACTAGAATGACTAAAATAAAAATATAGTGACAACACCAAATGCAGGCAAAGATGTAGAGAAACTGGATCTTTCATACATTGCTGGTGGGAATATAAAATGGTACAGACAATCTGGAATTTTTGGCAGTTTCTTATAACACTAAACTTATAACATTCGACCCAACAATTGCACTCTTGGGCATTTGTCACAGAGAAGTGAAAACTAATGTTTACACAAAAAACTCTACATGAATATTCATTGCAGTTTTATTCTTAATAGGCAAAAATTGGAAACAACCCAAATGTCCGTCCATGGGTAAATAGTTAAACTGTAGTACATCCATAGCAATACTACTACTCAGTAATAAAAAGGAATGAACTATTGATACATGCAACAACTTGGGTGGATCGCAAGGAAATTATGCTGAGTGAAGAAAAGCCAGTTTCAAAAGGTATGATTCCATTTACATGTGATAAAATTGCACAGTACTATATACACAGACACAGAAACGAGTGCATGTAAAACTGGTGTAATCGGAATAAGGCCTGTGGATTGTACCAATGTCAATATCTTGGTTATGTGAGATATTACCATTGGGGGAAATTGGGTGAAGATTACATGAGACTGTTCTGTAATATTTTTTTTTACAGATCCTGTGAATCTATAATTATTTCAAAATAAGTATAAGAAAATGAGGTAAGTCTGAAGGACCATGAATATTTTAGAATTCACACATTTGCATATTATGACATAGAGCTTACCTTTTTGTTTAGTCTAGAAATGTAAATGAAAATGACAATTATGAGTTCATGGTAAAGGGTTTGTTGCTTAAACATTTGTATGAGTCAGTATTCCACCAAAGAGGCAGACCAATAGCTATAGACACACACACACACACACACACACACACACACACACACACTCTCTCTCTCTCTCTCTCTCTCTCTCTCTCTCTCTCTCTTATTCATTCATTAATTAGAAGATATTGGCTTACAAATGTGGGGCAGGCTAAGTAAATCCAAAATCTATAGGGCACGCAGTCAGAAAGGAATGATCAGGCCCACTCAGATTATCCAGGATAATCTCCCTTACTTTATGTCAACTGATCAGGAGCTTTAATTACATGAAAATACCTTCACAGCAACACCTTGGTTAGTGTTTGATTGAATAAATGGGGGCTGTAGCCTAACCAAGTTGACTCATCAAAAAGCCACACATCATAAACCACTTGTGCTTGCAACTGAATAAATTTATTCTGTTAATAGCCACTTTGACTTGATTATTATAGGTAATTCAAGTGCAAACGACTTAAATCAATAGTGGCCGACAAGAGTTGTATACATGAGGGTCCACTTATACAACTTTAGAGTTGAAAGGGGCCATGAAAAGCTTAGGTAGTATTTCAACACGGCCCAGGAACCTCCCCGTCGTCGGCGTCTCCTGCCCTTAGAGGCGCTGAGGCTCCTCCCGACAGCAGCGCGCCCAGCAGGAGCAGAGAGGAACCCACCTGGAGCCCGTCGCCGCGGGTGCGGGAGCACTAAGTGGGCGGAGCCTCGAGGCGCGCGGCGGTAGCGACGGCGCCCAGCCCGCCAGAAGAGCGCGCGGCGGGCGGACGGCGGGGAGCCAGTCGGGTAGGGCGAGCGCGGACAGTGGTTGGCTGCGGGGGGGTTGTGTGTGAGTGGAGCGCGG